TCATTTGAACACACAACTAGAAATGGGAATTAAGATCTTAAAAAAAAAAAAAAAATAATAAAATTCCCAACACCTCATGGAATTACAAGCAGATCAAATCTTCCCTATCACCAGATATTCCCTGAAGTGTGTGTTAAAAATGTTAGTTTTTTTGTTAGTACAAAGAAAAAACGCAAGACACAACAAAAAGACAATTATTAGCTGTGGATGTTGGGGCTGATAATAATAGATTCTTAAAAAAATTTATGTTTATAAACATACTTTTAAACATTATAATTATTTATAAAAAATTATTTTAATATTATAATATTAAAAACAAATGAAACTTAAGATTCATTTTATTTGCTAATTCGTATGTTTAGAAACATTTATCTTATCTCCTGTTGGCAGTTTTATATCCAATAACATTAATTCACAATTCATTAAGAAAGATACTTACCTTGGCCATTCTTTCAAAATATAGTCGTTCTGCCTTGTCATAGGATGGTTTGTCAAACCATACCTTCTCTTGTGCTAATGCTGATTTCTCCATTATTTAGATGATGATTAGATGATATATTCAACAACAAAGATGTAAGTAAATATCTGCAACATGAAATTTTTTAATTTCAGAATGTTTTAAAATAATCTCATATATAAAATTAATCATTAATAAAATTAATACAAATAATATTTTAAAATTTATGATTTTTATATAATATTATTCTTATTTATTAAATATTATTCTTTATTTATTTAATTTTAAACTTATTTATAATTTAGAATCATTAGAACATATGGAAAATAAAAATATTAAAAAAATTAATTAATTACATTTATTAAAAATACAATCTTTTTGTCACATATATACAGTATATAATAAAAAGATATATAATAATATACATTATAATAAAAATTATTATATAACAAGGTATATTAACAACATCAACAACTTAATATATATAGCTAAAAGTATAAATTAATATCATAAACTATCATCATCACTAAAATATTCAGATTTAAATTTAACTTTATTTAATATCTTATGTCTAGGAAGATCTAATTTATATTTCTGACTATTCAATGATTGTTGATCTAATTTTCTTTTTATAATATCTAACAAATAATAAATTTGTTCTTCTTCGTCTGTTTTAATCACACATGGATATATTTCCAATGCTTCAAAATATTGTATAAATGCTTTAAGTTCATTAAAAGAGGAATGAGTAGAATAACATACATTAAAAGTTCTCTCTTTAACTTTATCCCATTCCCCTATTATAGTTGTATCTTTTTTCCTCCATTTCATTACAGATGGGATAACAGTCATGATATTCATATTGCTTACATCACTTCTACAATGCAAACCTGACACAGATATTTTTTTCTTGCAAGCATGAATTGAAGTACTATATGGGTCATTTGTGATATAAGAAGATAATTGTGCAATACGACAATAAGTTTCAAATACATCATTTCTTACATGAATTTTCATATTTAACTTCTTAGACAATTCTACAAAAAGAAATTCAGAACCATATATAGCAGAACATTCCAGAATAACAACATTCCTTGGGTCTTTGCTTATCCAATTTTTAATAACTTCATACATTTTAAATATACTTTCTTGTCTAGTAGGAAAATTAGAAAAGTCGGTACTTAAAAATGTTGTATCTAAATAAATTTTAGTAAATGATTTAGATATCAGTTTAGAATCATTATAATAATGTAAACTTTTCAATTTGGGAAAATCTATTGGATTAATACGAAAATCACCGGTATATAATATTGATATATTATTTTTTTCAAAAAGAAACATCACAGAACCAGGACAATGTCCTGCTGGAACACAAGTTACACAAATAAGAATTCTATCTTCATTTTTTATTGAATATTCTATAACAGTTGGAGAATTAATATCTATTTCTTTTACACAAGATGTTTTAAATTTAAATCTATTTTCTAACAATATTTTTGTAATAGGGCTGCAATAGAGACATTTGTTATATTCATCTAAATGCTCAAAGAACATATCTGATAAACCACACATATGATCAGAATGACAATGACTAAGAAAAAATATAGAAGATGTTAAGTTTGCTCCATCAAAACGATCCACTGAGATGCCAGGTATCTCCTTAATAAGCCCAAGAAAAGTTGACATTCTGATAGGTATTTTGTTCCTGTAATTTATAAATTCAATATCAACTATGCCAATACTTATTTTAAAAAAATTATATTATATTATACTATATTATTATAATAGTTTTTTTCATGTGTGAATATAACAAAAAGAAAATAAACAAATAATTAAATACTTTTGAAAATATATCTTTAATTTCAAGTATTAGAACTTAAAGAAAATGATAAAAATAAAATTTGTACAACGAAAAATTATCATAAGAAAGAAACAGATGTTTGCAAAATTGAAGGATGAAGATTTTCATAGTAGGTTATAATTATATTGAATATATATTTTACGAATGAAAGAAACAGATTAGAAGAGATTATTTACAAACCAATAAATCAACAACTTTAACAACTGTATACGAACAATCAGTAAACTTTTCACTGAAACATTATTAACACGAATCCGCCATGTGCCGTATTGATCGATTAATTCAACGGTTATACATATAGCGAAGTATAATTGATACGACGTATGCGAATACTACAAACCAGATTGATCTGCATGTTGATTATATATTGCTTAAATATTATTAAATATACCTTGACTCGTTACAGATTGTCAGATTGATGCAACAACTGTCTACTCGCCAAAATTTCTGTAAGCCGGATATAATATGCCAATTGAAAAGAAATAGAAATAGTAATGTTCGATTAATGAAAGATGTCACTAGGATACCTTATTTCTACCGCTGAATTCAACACATGTTTATTTTTTTAAAATGTTTTAAGTAGAATTTTTTAATTTTACTAATAAATTGTAAAATAAAAATTATTTAATCTTTTTATTCATTTTTATATTTATTATTAAAAGTAGAAATAAATAATACTATAAGAAAAACTCTGATATGTAATTTTATAATTTTTTTACAATATAATTATTTTATATTAATATATATTCTTAGAATTTAATTAGATATATACAATATTAAAAATAAAATTTAAATATTTGCAATTTTATCTCAAATTTGTCCTTCTTGATGAATAATTATGTAAAGAATTCAAAAATTGGCGGCAATTGGTTAACGGTTACTATCTGTTAGTTTACATTTCATACATAAGGTAAATCAATTTTTAGTAAGAATGACTGCGCAAGGATCACCTGCTAAAATGAAAGAATTACGTTTACCTATATCAAGGGTGAAAACAATTATGAAAAGTTCTCCTTACGTCGATACAATCGGTCAAGATGGATTATATTTAGTCACAAAAGCTACGGTAAGACTGGTATTTAAATATTGAGGTTAAGTGCCGCTTAAATATAATTTATATATTTGTAATTACTAAATTTATTCATAATTCATACATTAATTAATAATTCTTGCTTTCTATGCATTTTATATTTAAAATATTTACTAACCAATTGTTTAATATGTGTTCTATTCATATATTTTTCTAAGTGATTATTACAATTATTTTGCAAGATAAATATGAACAAACAAAGATGAAAACAATTTTATAGGAACTATTTATACATTATCTAACGGAAGAGGCACATTTGCAAAGCAACAAAGGAAATTTTTTAGACTACAAACATCTAGCAGAAGTGGTACAAACAAATGATACATTGGAATTTCTCAGGGAAATAATGCCTAGAAAAATAACAGTGAGACAATTCAAAGAAATGATGGCTGTCAAGAATTCACATAGTAGTTCATCAGAAAATAGTTCAGACTCTGACAGTGATAGTGAATCAGACACAGATTCTTGTTCTGATAGTGATGATAGAAAAGCAGATGATAATTCATCAAATAGTGAACAAGAAAGTATAGAAAAAGAGAATGGAAAATGTGATTCCATTAGTGACAAAAGTGAAGCAAGTGAAAAAAGTGACAGTGAAGATGAAACCAAGAGATAAAAATAGAACAAATATTTTCATAAGACAGGCTCTCTGATTATTTAAGAAATATTTCAAATACAATTAAAAATAATATATCTTTACAAATATTTTGGTTTTTACCATTTGAAACTATTTAATATTTTAGATTGAATACAGACAATAATTTTAGATGTTTAACACTATTTTTATATGTATTCATTAAAGACAAATTGAATACCTAGATAAATTGAATATCTTAGATAGGACATTTTTATTCATAATAAAACATATTTATAATTTATAGATACATTATTAAAAAAAATTATAAGCATAAAGTAAAAAATTTATTTATTTTTTCAAATGCATTGATTTAAGAAGCACCATATTATTTAATCTTTTTATTTATTTATTTAGTTGGTTTATTATATAATATGAAATAAATGTATTAATTTTTTAATGTTTATTTTTTAAATTGCATCACTCTATTGTTTATATCATCTTATATTGGCACATAATAATTTTATTCTATGTTTTATTTCTTTAGAAATTAAAAAAAAGATATTAATTTTAAAAGAATATATTTTAATAACAATGTAAAATTTTGTAAAATTTTATTCTTGATGCAATTTTTTAGATACTGATCCTGTTGAAATAGTATCATATACATCCTCATTTAATTTAATTGCCAAGAAATAAATTTCAGCCAAAGCTATGATCAGAGCACAAATTATACCTAATAACAACCTAAATCCAAAATCTAAATTTCCTACTATTAATTCCACACCTATAAATCCAAAAGCAAAACCTGCTAGCACAGAAAAT